CTTTCCGCATCATCCCACTTATCGCTCAAAACATACAAATCAGAAATTAGAGTATAATCCCCTTAATTATTCTCCGGCTTCACCATCTCCATAATCCGATCAATTACTCACTCAAACATATCAAATTTCTTATGCACTTTACACGCGAACAAGAAGGAACAGCAAACAAAAACATTGGGTTCAAGTCTCATCGTCTTAATAACCTCATACGCTTCTCCCAAAAGCCGGGCTTTCCCAAACATGTCAACCACAAAACCGTAATGCTGAATTGTGGGCTCCAACCTGTATTCTTCAATCATTCTAAAATATCTTTGGCCTTCCTTAACCAACCCTGCTTGTGCACAGGCACTAAGAACTCCGGTGAATGTCAATTCATTTGGCCAAACACCAACTTCTTTCATTATCTCAAACATAAACAATGCTTCTTTGCCATAGCCATGTTGTGCAGACCCACAAATTAGGACAGTCCAAGACTTCACATTTCAGTCTTGCATCATATTAAAGACCCAACTAGCATTCTTTATAAAACCACACTTGGCATACATGTCCACCAAAACTGTGCCAAGTTCCACATTCAATACCCAACCATTCTTCACAATAAATCCATGAATTTATTTCCCAAGCAGCAATCCTATAGAACCCTTGTGGGCACACCTTACTAAAACCAATCCCAAAGTCACTTGGTCAGGTTTTAACTGCGCAACCACCAACATTTCGCAAAAGAGCGTTAACCCATTTCCCCAATAGCCATTATTCACGTAACACGCGATCATGGCAGACCACAAGGCAACATCCCTCAAAGGAATTCTATCAAACACGCCCTGGGCCTTTTCAACATCTCCCAACTTTAAATAACCCAAAATCATTGTATTCCACATGACGGTGTTTCTCTCAGGCATTCCATCGAACAGGCCATGGGCATCGCGAAATGAAGCGACAACGTATGCATGAAGGAGGGAAGTGGCGACATAGACGTAGGAATTACAGCCCAGTTTGCAAGATGGGCATGGAGATGATTGATAAGAAGAAGATTATGCAAATGGGTACAAGATTTAGAGTGAAGAGTATGGAGAAACTGTTAAAAGGTATAGAATGGCGTTGCATTTGAGAGAAAAGTTGCATAGTTTTGTTGAATTTGAGATACCTCAATCTCTCATCGGCATCATTCGGTGAAGAAATTCCACCTCAGCTTGGAAATCTATCAGACTTGAATCATCTTGATCTCTGTTCTGGATTTTAAGGATTAAAAACCATAAACTTGAGGTGGGTTTTCAATCTTTCTTCTTTGCGTTACCTTAAGATGAGAGGAGTAAAAATCGAGATTGAAAAAGATTGGTTATAGGAAGTTAATAGGCTTCCTTCTCTTGTGGAGTTACATTTGCCAGGGTGTGATCTTCACAGCCTTCCAATCTCGGTTCCATTCATCAACTTCACTTTGCTTTCAGTCCTTCATATCTCAGAAAATTCATTTAACTCTTCAATTTCTCACTGGATGTTTAATCTTACAAGACTAAGAACACTTGATCTCAGCATGAACTCTTTCCAAGGTACCATTCCTAGTGAAATTGTTAATTTGATTTCTCTGGAATATCTTTATATGTATAGTAGTGGGGATAGTGAAGGTTAGGTACCTAATTCGCTTGGTGGGGCATTGCTTGATTCATTAGGAATACTTGAGAATTTGCAACATCTTGACCTCAGTTGCAATTCTTTCTAGGGTTCAATTCCAACTTCAATTGGAAATATGTCATCATTGCAATATTTGGACCTCAAATTCAATAATATGAATGAAATAATTCTTAAAAGTTTTGGAAAACTCTCAAAGCTCGTTCAGTTGTATCTCGAAGGAAATCCATGGGAAGACATCATAACAGAAGTTCATTTGATGAATCTCACAAGATTAGAGAATATAATCATACCACCAGCGACAAAAACATCATTGGTTTTGAATGTCACATATAAATGGATTCCCTTTTTTAGGGTCAAATTTCTTGATCTACGAAACTGTCAGGTTGGTCCCAGATTTTCTGTATGGCTTCAAGTTCAGAGTGAACTCACCTCTTTGATCCTTAAAAACGTTGGAATTGAGGACAACTTACCTGAAGAATGGCTTTCCAAGATTTTTGCTCATCTTACCTATTTGGATCTGTCTAACAACCGAATCAAAGGAAAGCTTCCAAAGAAGTTAGAATCTCCAATATTAGGTTTTATTGACTTGAGCTATAATCGCTTTGAGGGTTCATTGCCACTTTGGTCAACTAATACATCCTAATTTCATCTGCAGAACAACTTGTTTTCAGGAGCTATATCATCAACTTGGTTTGTATCTCTCAGAGAACCTTTTGAATGGAACAATCCCCTCATCCATCTGTACCATGAATAGCTTGCAAGTACTTTCCCTTAGGACAAACCAATTATCCGGGGAGCTCCCACAGTGTTGGAATGGGTCACAATACTTAATGGTCATAGACGTGGAAAACAACAATCTCTCCGGTATTATTCCAAGTCTCTATATGTTGGTTTTGAGCAATAACAGCCTAGAGGGTGAAATTCCTTCTTCTTTGCTGAATTGTTCACTTTTGAGAATTGATCTTAGAGGAAATAGAATATTTGGAAAGTTACCCTCATGGATGGGGGCGACTACACTTTGGATGCTACAGTTGCGATCAAACTCTTTTAGTGGAATCATCCCGCAAAAATGGTGCAATAATCCATTTCTTCACATCTTTGATCTTGCAAACAACAACATTTCAGGGGTTATTCCCAATTATTTACACAATTTAACTAATTTGGTTTATGATGATGCATGCATAACAGAACCCCGCGAGCAAAGACACGGTTATGTGGAGCGAACAACTTTGGTGGAAAAAGGTGGAGAACTTGAATATGGCAATACTCTTCAATATGTCAATATCATTGATCTTTCTCAAAACAATTTAATGGGTCAAATCCCT